GTAGGCCCAAAGTCGTAGAGCGAGTCGTTGACCGCCAGGTAGTCAGCGTAGTATTCTTGAATTTGCATTACGACCTCCTTCTCATCCGCTTCTGCGAGTTTCTCGAGCGCCTCGACGGGCAAGATGTTGGAGAAAAAGAGGTGGTAGCGGCCATACTTGGGCGACTTAAGCTCTCGGCGTAGAAGCTCCACATTGCGTGAGGTGGGTCGCACAAAGACAGCGGCTTTGAGGTGCAGCATGGGCTCGTGGGTTGCGTCCAGCTGCTCCACTAGGAACACTTCGCGCTGCAGGATGTGCGACTGGGACATAACCATACTGATGACGCTCTTAGTGTCAGCATCCAGCAGCAGCGCCTTCATCCCCTCTAGCTGCGGGTCTGAGATGATCTTCTCTAGGTAGTTCTTCACACTGGCGATCGCGTCCATGTATGGCTGACGAGCTTCGAGCTTCCTGTCCGGTGGACCTTTCTCTTAGAAATGGAGCCGAAAATACGCTGAGTTCTATAACAGAAGTTTTCTATGCAAAATCAATTAAAATATGAATTATCATAGTTTTGCTGAAGTAGATTTTTTCGGTACTGAGTAACCCTTTCGCGGTGCGAGGGCGCTTTTTTCGCCTTTTAGCACCGTTACCAAAACAAGGTGGAAAATGGGCTTGTAAAAGGGCGAATTTTGCGCCATTTTAGATTTCCTCCAGCTCTGCCAACCGTGTTTCATAACTACCAATGAATAGAAAGAGGTTGGGGGTAATTTTGGATCGGCTGCTCATCACACAGTATTTATTGTCAATTCCAGTGAAAACTGAATACGGAGGGTGATTGACGGATAGTCTGAAAAATCAACACTTAGATATGATTGGTCAAAACTCACCAGCTGCAACTTAGGTTGAGCTACAAGCTGATATTGATGCGAAGTAGCGCCAGCTGGGGATGCTGGTATCTGCTGCTCAGGTTGACCAACAGGAGATGCAGCTCGGGGTAATGTTCGACGTCGTGTGGAACGTGGAGTCCGCGGCTGTCTAGCTGTACCAGGGGCTGGAGAAGGTCGAGCTTGAGCTGATTCACCAGGTGATCTTGCTGCTCCAAGAAGTGACGCTCGTTGGGCTGCGGATGACAATGGACCCGGGGTTGAGTATGCCCTAGTCGTGGTCGCTGGCAGTGCTTCTCGGTCTGGAGGTGTACGCCGTCGTATTGGACCTGGGTGGGGCGGTGTAGTCTCCGTTGGCGTCCGAATACGCTCAGGATATGGAGATACACGGGCCGAATGTGGCGATATACGTGTTCGACCACCACAGCGTGCACCATCAGCTGATGCAGCACCCGCTGGTGGGGGTCCTCTTGCGCTACCAGGCGAGACGTTAGATCGGAGATCCATTACCGTTTGCTGACACGGGAAACGTTGCCGATGCGCTCTGCTCTGACCATGCAGTGTGTGGAAACCTGTCGCATGTAATGTTTCCGTATGATGTATGGTAGGATGAACGATTTCATAGGCCATTCAGCGCGGGTGATTAATAAATCAGGCAGTCAAGTTTTGAGTAGAAAGCACAATATCTCCAACGACCGTAATCGGCCCTTTCTACGCGGTCGTGCCATGAATCTAGCGGTCAACCGCCTGACAGCCAGTCACCAGAACATACAAAAGGTAAGACGAATGCACCTCTCCGATCTACCATTTTGCTATAGTGTACTCAAGACTAATGCGCACTACCTTATCAGACGCTGAAGATAAGCTGCTGGTGCAGATCGCTTTCCTATTCAAAAGGGAGGGCTTACGAATCACATGGGCCTACGTGGCCCGCCGAATGCAGACCAAGCGGCCGGCCCGTCAACTGCGGCTTCGGCTGGCTAGCCTCAAGCGGACCTACGGAAAGGCGATTAGTGGCTTTCCGCCATGTTTTCTCCGCGGCATGCCATCAAGGCGTCTTTTCGGAGCGCTGAGGTCACCACCA